TCCCAGTCCATCATCTGGCGAATGGATTGGTGATTCCAGGAAAAGACTGGCCTTATTTCGCCAGATTTAAACATTAGAATGTAGAAATTGAAGGAAATCAGGAACAATCTCCAGACAGGAGCCGTAATGGATTAATAGAGTTAGGTTAATTATTATTAGTAGTAGTAGTATTGAGACTGAGTCTTGCTCTGTCGCTCAGGCTAGAGTATAGTGGCATGATCTCGGCTCACTGTAACCTCTGCCTCTCCTGGGCTCAAGTGATTCTCCTGTCTCAGTCTCCCGAGTAACTGGGATTACAGGCACCTGCCATCATAACCACACCTGGCTAATTTTTGTATTTTTAATAGAGACAAGGTTTCACCATGTTGGCCAGGCTGGTCTCAAACTCCTGACCTCAAGTGATCGGCCTCCCAAAGTGTTGGGATAACAGACGTGAGCCACTATGCCTGGTTGAGTTAGGTTAATCAAACACACACACACACACACACACGAACTAAAACAAAACATGCCATGTTACGAGGTGATTAACAGGAATTTCATCCTTCACATGTATACCTATGCTTAAAATGGATATTTTTACCATCTGTCACAGACTATTAAAATGGGTGCTTTTAAATAAGGGAAAAGAGGTATTCGCCCTGCTATTCACAAGTGAAGGGTGGAGGGAAGTGCACATTTTTCATCCTCACTTCCTATATGAGATTTGTTCAAGGAAGTGGCAGTACATGGAGGAAGAGGACGGACTTTGGAGTCAGAAAATGAGAGGGTTTGAACCAGTTCTGCCATTGAGAGGTGAGTAGTGCTGGACACACATTGACTAATATTTTTGAGCTTCAGTTTCCAGGTAAGTGGAGGTAACAGCTCCCTTTCCAAAGAATGCAGTATTGCAGAAAGAACACTGGATTACAAATCAGTGAATTCCTTAGTTCCAATCCCATTTCAGCCATTTACTTGAATGCATACTTGGATCACTTGCCTAATTCCTCCAAGCTTTACTTTTCTCCCCTATGAGTAAATAATGCCATTTGTCCTTTCAATTTCATAGGCTGGTTTTGAGGATATAATTCAGTACAAAACAAGACAAAACAAACAAAAAAACCTTGTAAATAGTAAAGCAAATATGCTAATGAAAATCTGCTATCATATCAATATAAAATTTAAGCTACTTTTTTTATCAGATTAAATGTCATTTCAGATAAAATTCTCAAGGGATCTATCTTGTTTCTTTGCCTACTGAAAGGATAAACCTTAGGTTTTAATTCTAGTTCTGGCACTTACTTCGTAAGCCCTGTGGTTGCATATCTCCCACCATGCAGTAGTCATTCTCTTTGAGTGGTGTTGACTCGTACCCATCCTCAGCTCCAATGGTGGATCCTGATAAGTCCAGGCCAATCGAGATAATGCCATCCCCTGCCAGGCGATTGCTTCAGGGGTGCAGTTAGAGTGTTAAAGGCTTTGCTTCAATAGTTGGGGTGTGAGTCAGTCACACATCCAGCTGGATGTGAAAGCATGCAACCCTGGGAGCTGCTGGCAGCCATCTTGATATCACCAGGGAACAGCTGAGAAAGATTGCAAAGAAAAGAGCCCTTGCTCTGACAATTATCATGAGCCCCTGGATTAAACTGTGCCTGAAGCAGCATACTTCTGGGCTTTTCTGTTAGGTTGAGGCAACAAATTTTCTTGGTTGGGTTTCTGTTGGTTTCTCTGTTCTTGCAAGTAAAAAACCTTAAGAAATACACCATGTAACCTTGAGCAACTTCCCTTACCCTCTAAACTTCAGTTTCATGATAACAGGGCATAGTAGAATAGAATGCCTACAATAAATAGGGTCACTGTGGGGTTCGACAGTGCTTGAAAAATGCTTAGCACCATGCATAGTTGATATGGTTTGACTCTGTGTCCCCACCCAAATGTCATTTCAAATTGTAATCTCCATGTGTCAAGAAAGGTAAGTGATTGAATCATGGGGGCAGTTTCCTCCATGCGGTTCTCCTGATAATGAGTGAGTTCTCACCATATCTGATGGTTTTAAGGGGGAGTTTTCCCTGCTCTTGCTCGCTCTTTCTTGCCTGCCACCATGTGAGACATGCCTCTTCCCCTTCCGCCATGATTGTGAGATGCCTGAGGCCTCCCCAGCCATGTGGAACTGTGAGTCAATTAAATCCCTTTTCTTTATAAATTACCCAGTCTCGGGTGTGTCTTTATAGCAGTGTGAAAATGGACTAACAGTACAAAGTATGCATTCAGTATATGGTAACAATTTTTACTACATTTGCAGCTCTAAACTTTGTGTTAAATGCTTTAAGTATATCATTTCACTTGGTCATTGGTCAAGCTAGGAGGACTTTTTTGGTCCCCATTTTACAATTAAGAAATGAAGGTTGGAGAGTTTACGTGACTTGTCCAGGGTTCCATAACTACAGAAGCAGAGATTTTAGAGTATGATTGTTTCTCCTTTTTCTCAATCCTTTGAACAGATGATTATTGTACAGTGTCAATAAAATGTTAGTTGAATGCCTATAATGTGCAAAGCATTATAAGTATATAGCAGTAAATATATATGCTGTCCTTCAGTTTTAGAGGATAGTCTCACATTATCTGAATTATAGAGAAGATCACGTTGAGTTTGTGTCTTGGATTTATTAGCATCATGCTCCTAACAACTAAGTTAACCAGCCTATCATCTAAATCCTATAGGCACATGAAAAGTATTGACATGAACAAAGTAGTTCTGCAACTAAGTGTAGAACATAGAGCTTATTTCCATATAAAATTATATATATATACACACACACACATACACACATACACACACATCTTGTATTTCAATTGCTATTTAATTTCTTCTAAAACATTAAACTGAACTGTAACATTCCTTTTACATTTGATTCCACTGGTTAAAAAAAGTCTTTTTCATATACTATAAAGATATTATCTCTACTCTTTCTGACATGGTGTCAACTTATATATGTTTCCAGCAAGTCTGAACAACACTATTAGAAGTGACAATGGGATGGAAGAAGAATAGGTCTTTGCTACATTGTTTTCTTAGGAAATCTGCAGGAAAATCTAATGCTGTGTTTTACTGTTTACCTTTAGGTGACATTCTCCAAGTGTCTTTATGTGTTATGGAGTGCCTTTTACAATACTCCAATCACAAGGCGTGTAAAAAATGATTATATGGAGAATAGTTAATGTAAACCTCTTTATGACCAATGTTGTCTTATGTGCAGATCAGGAAATTCCTTACAAGTAATGTATAATAAGCCCTGAGAAACATAAACAGCCTCCGAACTTGTCTTCTTAACATCTAGATATTTTGTCTAAGAAGATTTAATAGTGTCAGGACACATCCCAAATGAGATTTCACAGGCTTTCACAGGCAGGGGGAGAGGTTCTACTCTCCTACACTGCCTCATCTTCAGCTTTTCATGTCAATTTTGATAGAAGGGTCTGAGAGAAGAACCTATAAAATCAACCTGCAGAAAACACAAGTGGTCCCTGATTTCATAATTATGAGATTTTTCCTTATATTGAAGCCATATGTGGGGAAGCTAATGAACAACTGAGAATAGCTTGTTCCTTGTCTTGATAGCTTAGTCTTAGATATCTGAGAGTTGTGAAAAAATGGACAGATTTGTAGTCAGACAGATTCAGCTTTGTTCTATCTAGGTGAGAGACATTGGGTATATTATGTAACTTCTCCAAGCCTATTTGTCATTGTAAAGCGAGAATAATAAAAACTAGTAGGGTTATGGAATAAAGATAAATACAGGGCCCCGTTCATAGTAGGTACACAATACAAAGTAGACCCTTTCCTCTTTAATTCTCTAAGAAAATATTTATTTAATATAATGTATTTCAAGAAAAATGTCCTTCTTAGAAATATAACCTAAGCATAACTAGACTTCACTAGTTTGGGAATACAAATATTAAATAACTCGTATTTCCACATTTATATAATGCAGCAATTTCTGGGCGCCACTGGGGGTGTATCTTGTGCTGCTTCTCTTGTCGTTTTCCTCCAGTCCCTTTGTTGATATCCGCTGCTCAGGAAGGTCAACTTGGGGACAGCGCCTTGCCTCAGCCTCTTTTGATGGGACAGTGCCTTGCCTTTGCCTCTTTTTCTTCTCTGGGAACCCCAGAGATTCCCAAATGGTAATCTCATGGAGCAATCAAATGACACAACCTTGTTAAGACTTCAGTGTACCAGGAACATGCTGTGTCTCTGTGGAAATGCCCTCTTCCCAGTTCTGTTTCTTGCTTTGTCATCTGAACCGCTAACTGTACTTCTTTTGCCTCCCTATGAAAATGTGGCACATATACACCATGGAATACTATGCAGCCATAAAAAAGGATGAGTTTGTGTCCTTTGTAGGGACATGGATGCAGCTGGAAACCATCATTCTTAGCAAACTATCACAAGAACAGAAAACCAAACACGGCATGTTCTCACTCACAGGTGGGAACTGAACAATGAGATCACTTGGACTTGAGAAGGGGAACATCACACACCAGGGCCTATCATGGGGAGGGGGGAGGGAGGAGGGGGGAGGGATTGCATTGGAAGTTATACCTGATGTAAATGACGAGTTGATGGGTGCTGACGAGTTGATGGGTGCAGCACGCCAACATGGCACAAGTATACATATGTAACAAACCTGCACGTTATGCACATGTACCCTAGAACTTAAATAAAAAAAAATAAAAAAAAAAAGAAAATGGCTTCTGCCAGTAGCATTTTCTCCAGTCATCCACAGGTGAAGACAAGGACATTCTCTATCCTGAGGCGCCCTTTTCCACATAATCCCACCCCAGTGCAAACTATTTCCTGCAAAAAGATAGCTTCAGACTGTTTCCTACTTCATCAAAACCACCCAGACTTAAAAATCCAGTTTAGGCTCAGTTGAAACCTTCTCTACAATAAAAACTACTGTATGTGCTCATTTCTCATCCACTAGGGGTCTGCCTTCTAAATCAAAAGCAAGTAGAAGACAGAGTAAAATGTATAATATAAATTTATTCTGTGACATTTTCCTCATTCAAGATATTTTAACATAGATTAAAATATATCAATATTTCATGAAAAATAAATTCTAGAAGAATTTAGATAATATCTGTAATATACATGATTTGACCCTGAATATCCTTTTTTTTTCTTCACTTCAAACATCATTTTTTAAAAAGTAACATAAAATGATAAGGATTGCAACATTCTTCATATATCTTGTGTCTCATAAATTTTAATTCAACTGCCAGTTCTTTTCTCAACTACGTATGTTAATGGTATTTGCTCCTGTTTTTGAACGGGACGAGTATCCATTTTCTGTTTCTTTGTGATATTTAGGTCTTCTTTCTCTGATTCTTCAAGAAAATGCTCCATGCTGAGTTTGAATAGTAATCGAGGGTCTGGTTTAGACAGTGGTGGGCAATTACACATCTCTCTAATTTTGAGAGCCTATAAAGACATAATAAGATTAAAAAAACTATATATACATCAATATATTCAGATTGTTTCAGTAATCCGTAATATGTTCCATGTAAAACAAATAAAGAATGCATTGTGTATTTTTTTAATAAAAGGTATCTTGATTATGACACATAAAAGGGAACCACTGATAAATCCACAGTGAACAGTTGCTTCCATGATTTGGTCAAATAGTATTATTTTAAAAACAACAACAACAACAATAGTATTAATAATCTGTAACCACTGCCCAAATGCTGTTTTGAGGGTAAACAAATCTTAGAGATATCTCTGTGGTTTCAGTTAAACTCTAGCTGACCTGAGAACAATCATTCAGATTTTAAAAGACTCTATGAGAGGTTTTTTTCAAGAAAAAGAAAACTGCAGAATATAGATGACTGAATATACTGAAAAAAGATATATATAACTGATATAGTCTTGGGTAAAATTGATGATAAAAACCTAGTGATACAGTTTGGATACGTCTCCACCCAAATCTCATCTTGAATTGCAGTTCCCATAATTCCCACATCATGGGAGATAACTGAATCATGGGGGCAGGTCTTTCCCATGCTGTTTTCATGATAAAGTCTCACAAGATCTGATGGTTTTATAAAGGGCAGTTCTCCTGCACATGCCTTCTTGCCTGCTGCCATATAAGACATGACTCTTCTCCTCATTTGCCTTCCACCGTGATTGTGAGCACACCCGCCAACCCCCGGCCATGTGGAACTGTGAATCAATTAAACCTCTTTCCTTTATAAATTCCCCAGTCTCAGGTATGTTTTAGTAGCAGCATGAGAATAAAACATTGCAAAGGAAGGAAAAGTAATCACGGTGTACTATGGGGCTCAGCTAGGACTAGTGCTTACAGTTGAAAATACCAAATCTTGATGAAACCAAAAAGTACGATTTCATCATACTGAGAAGGGGAGAGCTGCATGGGTGTGTGCATGCACAGGGTGTGACACTGGAAAGAGAGGGCTTACGTCTCATCCTGTGCAGTGGAAAATAAGTAAGGCCCAAAATTGAAGTTAGAACCTAGCAACATAAGCATGTTATTTAGACACAATGGGAAATACTAAACAAATCATCCAATAGAACTGGAAATAGTTATCCCTGAAACGAATGGCAGGGTCGGAGGACTGGCTGCTGATTTAAGTAACTAGCCTTAGAACTATTTAACTCTTCAAAGTGGGTATATGGATAATTTTAAGATATAAGAACTAAAATAATTTTTAAGGAAAAATGGCCTCAGTATTTAAGGAGTTTTAAAAGAAAGACATTTAGGAGAAAAAGCTAATTTAGTTTTTTACTACTTCTGGCTTTCTGATACTGATGTGTCTTAAGGGAAGCTAATAAGGCAGTAAAGGAGACAATGTTTGGGGGACAGGTAAAATCTTAGAAAAACTATCCAGGCAAGGCCTCACTGATAAGATAATGATTTGGGGGGTCAAGAGGGGGACAGACCTGAAGGTCACGAGGAAAGAGACCATGTGGCAACCTAGGGAAAAACCATTCCAAGAGGGAGCTGCAAGTGCAATGGAGATGGGAGTGTGCCTGGGGTGTTTTGGAACAGTGAAGAAGCAGGTACAGCTAAGTGGAGCAGGGTGGAGGGCAGGAGCAGATTATGTAGGACCTCACGCTAAGGTCATGCTAAGGATTTTAAGTTTTACTCTGAACAGCCTGCCTCTAATATTTGTGGGGTCCATGGCAAGAATGAAAATGAAGGCCCAGATACCATGTCTCTAAACACCTAAAAGCAGTAAGTCAAGCTAATACATTACTACATAAAATCTGTTCTATTCTTCTACTTTGAGAAATACACATTCAAAATTACCTGGAAGTCCAGGTACAAAATTAGAATTCTTGAATTTCAGAACACGTAAGACTGCAGGGAGCTTACTGTGTAGCTGTTGACACTAGCCTGCCCCTCTCCCAGTCCTAGCTTATCTGGCACTGTAAAGGGCCTTGTGTGCATGTGTCCAAGGAAGAGGTCCACATGGGCCCTGAAAGCAAGCTCAAACATGTTTGGGCAAGGAATTCCATTATCCCAAATACCCTGAGTTGGGTGTGGTAGGGGCACAGGTTCTTGTATGCAAACATTTCATTGAGTACCACAGGAGAGGGGGACTTGTAGTCAGAGACGAGCCAGATAGACGTCCTCTAAGTGAATGGGGTCAGGGCAGAAGCTTGGGTCTAGGAGCACTTCTAGCTCCCATGAGGCTATCAGTTACCATTAAGGTAAGCTAGAGAGTTTGAAAAAGCATTACTTAATATGAAATTCTTCAGTGGCAGTGGCCTTGTCTTATTTTTCTTTGTATTTCACAGCAGATTTAAGATGTTCCTTATATCTACTGAGTGTTAAAGAAATGTTTAAGTAAACTGAATTGACATAAAAAGAAAATGTTTCCCAACTATAGCACATACAGTACTTAAGTAAACAGAAAATCAGACCCTCAGCTAAATGGTGACCTACCGTCCAAACTGGGATACCTTTGAGAATGAAAGGAGATGCTAGTGAGATTTGCACTGAGACATCAGGCATGAGCCAAGACTGTCTCCGCAAAACTGGGACGTACGGTCACTCTTGCATTAGCTCCTTTACAACCATGTTAATTTTCTTTCCCAAGTGAGAAGTTTACCTGTCATGGCTGCTATATCAGTGTAGTGCCTACGTCTAAGCACTGCACTGGGATCAGTAAAGGGGGAGAGTACAGACTCCAGCAGGTAACAGCTGGCACAGCTGAGTGTGGCAATGAGAGATGCAAAGCAACAAAGAGAGGAATAGGATGCCATCCCCTATGATCTCTGTGTATTCAGTAAAAACTCTTCTATTTTTCTTAAATTCTCTTATTCAGTCTTTTTAATACAACAAATATTTAGAACACCACAGTGAGTAAAGTGCTAGGTACACATTGGTCAGAATAGTCATGGTCCCTGCCCTGATATAATTTACTTTGTATTTCTCCATTACTGGGCATTAGAATTGTCCCCACAGTTGTGTCTATTTGGCTTTTATAAATTACTCTGCTATAAAAATCTTTGTTTAAAAAAATCTTATTTTCTCACCTCCATTTGGAGTTATGTGAAGTCTAACACCCAAAACAGAATGATCTGATCAAAGAGTAAGTGCAGGTAGATTATAATTTATGTTATATAGGACCAAACTGTGTTCTACCAGAAAGGGTTTATCAACCTTTAATGTCACCAGCAATACAGGCATACTTGAGTTGTTCACAGTTATTCACATAAGATTTCATGACTTTTATGTAGATAATGACAGAATTTCAAACCTCAGAATCTTTAGAAAATATCAGTTCAATTTTACAGATGAGGAAACTGAGTCTCAGAGAAGTTAAATGCCAGGCAAGGAACAAAAAGCTGGCTTGATCAATGTTTTTAAGAGCTTTATTTGCTAAAACTTCGAAATAACCAAGATGTCCTTCGACAGGTGAATAGATAAACTGTGGGATATCCAGACAAAAGAATATTATTCAGATCTAAGAAGAAATGAGCTATCAAGCCATGAAAAGATATGAGGAACCTTAAATGCATATTGCTGAGAGAGAAAAAGCTAATCTGAAAAGGCTACATAATTCCAACTATATGATATTCTGGAAAAGGCACAACTATGGAGACAGTAAAAAGATTAGTGGTTGCCAGGGGCTAGGGGGAGGGAGGAATGAGTAGGCACAGAGTGTATTTTTATGAGAGTGAAACTACTCTGCATGATGCTATAATGGTGGATACATGTCATTATACATTTATCAAAATGCACTGAATGTACAGCACCAAGAGTGAATCCTAATGGACTTTGGGTGATAATGATGGGTCAACATAGGTTTATCAATTGTAACTAATATCATCAATCTGGCATGGGATTTTGATGGTATGGGAGGCTGTGAGTATGCGGGGGCAGATACATAAGGGAAATCTCTATACCTTCTACTCAACCTAAAAGTTGAGGCTTTAGAGTCTAAAAATAAAACAGAGTCTATTATTAAAAAAAAAAAAAAAGTTGGCCTGGAAGTAAAAAAGCTGGGTTTAGAACCTCATTTGTTTTTATTGCTTTTGCCCTACATGCTTTTTGTGCTCATGCTTTTTTGCACCACATGATGTTTCTTGAGTGAATTTTTTACTGAATAAACGTACTTTGGAGATGTCTGAGCTAGGTTTCTTTAATTGCTAGAAATACTATATATTCTTCATACAGGTTTTCTATCACCATTCCTTCATGTGTGAACTGCTTCTCCTCTCCAACTATCTATCAAGCAGAATCGTGTTATGACCATACATATTTCTATCAAATCTTCATCTATTTTGCATAGTAAGATTTTATCGGATGTCTTGGTAACTTATTTTTTCTTTTTTCCTTTCCTTTCCACATTCATTTTATACATTTCAGGGTGCCAATGTCTTTTTATTTTTATAAATTCTATCTTATTAAATATACCTTCATCTCTTCAAAAGTGAGCAAAATTTTCCTACCATATAGCTAGACTATGTCTTTCCACTTCCTTTACTTTGTTTTCTGTGTTTAACTCCATGCACTGCACATAATAGGCACTTAACAAACGCATGCTAAATTTTAAACAAACATTTATAAAACACCAGCTATGAATAAATCATTATGATAAATGTCATAGAGAAAATACTCTTAGGAGTTTATGGTTTAAGAAAAAGCAGGAATGTATTCTAATAGCAAGAAAGTATGGTTCTGAGAATCCTGAGGAAGATTTGAAGTTAAATATAGAATTAGCCAGCCTAAAGACCACAAGTGAAAGAAACTAACATCTACTGTTCACTTTCTATGTACCTTTCACTGTGTGAGGTATTTTACACATCTAAATTGACATTGGAATTTGAACCGCTTTTGAAATCTTGGGCCTGGCATAAAACACTTATCATTAAAGTGTCTATGCCAAAGAAAGGAGGACAACGGAGAGAAGGCAGCAGGACCTTACCTACAGAAATGCACAAGTATGTAC